GAAATCCAGAACACATTGACTGACCTATCTGTTGTTTTTTGTAGGTTATATATTGTTATTTGATACATAGTGTAATCTAGATAGAAACTTATAATGCAACTTCACTGAACATGAAACTTCTCATGTGTAAAGCACATTGTGAGGGGTCAAACAATTGCAATTGTTACCCTCTCCTTGGCAGCAATACAGCGAATCCAGAGAGGATGTCGTGTTGATTTTCCTTCAACACAAGACCCAATTAACACTACATCACAGCAGGGAGGAAGATATGTTGGGATGTGATATCAGTATTGGCCTCGCATTTCCACCAAAACAGAGCAACAGCATTTGTACATTATCTGCACCAACAGATCCCCTCTGATAGCGTCAGGATGGAAGGAAAAACAGAACACCAGCGGTGAACAGAGCATATTTCATCTAAATGCACCTGTAAAAGCAGGCACGCTTTCCTCCTGCGTTTCTGTTTTATATATTTTTGTCTTTATTTGATAGGACAGGTGAAGATAGGCAGGAAAGGGGGACAGAGAGGGGGTGACGCACGGCAAAAGGCCACAGGTCAGACTCAAACCCTCTGTTGCCATTGTAAGGAAACAGAAGGTCATTAAAGGAATAGGTCTACATTGTGAATTAAAAGATGGATCTCATGTACAGTAAATACAGTACGAAGCTATCAGCAGCAGCCAGTTAGAATAGATGTTTGTTAAGCCCCGCCCTTCTTAGTTACTGTTGCTATCTGTCAAACTTATTCGTTACGGCAAATATGCAGTTTACAAAAATGAATTTTTTAAACAATGTTTCTCTGATTTCACACAAGGCAGATTGTTGATTTTGTCTGCTGAAATTACAACTGGCAGATTTCGACAGACGCAGTTAGAATCAGAATCAGATTTATTGCCAGGTAGGTTTTTACACATATGAGGAATTTGTCTTGGAAAAATATACAAATCACACAAAAAAACACAAGAATAAAGTACTTTTAAAATATAAATAAATAAAGATAAGAAAAGATAAGAAGACTGTACAGAAGACGGGAGTGCATTAATGTAATGGAATGTTAGCTAATTAACGCTAACTTCCTGAGCTGTTTGATGTCTCAGGCTGCCTAGTTTTACAACTGGAGCCATTTGAAAGGGTAAATATGAACCTCGATCACTACATACTCAATATAGTGCTAAAAGACTGCGACTGAAGCTGCATGACCCAGACAAAAAGTTAGCATCCTCCAGTGATTCATGAAGAACATGTGACGATAAACCTGTGGGTAACGTCACAGAGACATTCAAATTGAGATCATATATACCTGTGTCCTTCAAAGCCTCTTTGGCTGGACGACGACTGTGGATCCGACTGTGATTCTTAATTATTTTAGAAAGGTCCTGTCAGTGTGTCTTCTATTGCCTTGACTAGAAAGCCCGATACACCCCTACCTCACACAGAGGGCTTTCGCATTCACTATGCAAGAGTTTGGCAGAGAAATATACAGAAAAAAGCTCCCTGAAGCTCTCTCACGACCTCTTTATTTGGTTGACACCAAATGAAAACAAATAAACAAAAACATATCTAAAAAACTTAGCTTGAAATAGAGCATTGAAATGGCTAAGAACACCTAAAACTAATATTCTTCAAACATGATGATCACAAATGTCCCTTTAATGAACCATTCTTTGCTGACCATTGTCCTCACTTCTTCTTTTCCAGGCATTCAAAGCCCCAATAATGTGTAAAACCAATCATAACAGTTCCATCCTCCTGGAAAACTGTGTCCTTCTCTGAAGACCAGTTGTTTGTGCACTGCCGTCAGGAGCAGAGCTCGTCCACTGTGGACTCTGTGGCAGTAGTGAGTTTAAAATCATTGCCTGCTCCCTCCTATGAGTCTCTGACCTGCACTCAGAGGCAATCTCTTTGGCAGGCACAGATGGCAGACACAGTGGTGTTTTCCAGCAGAGAAGGTTACAGATCAGTGTACATGACACGTCCAACCATTCTTTGATCTGTCTCCAACTGCACTGGCTGTGGTAGTTCACACGGGGTCAAATAATACTCAGATTAAATGATTGTTGTAACTTGTACAGACAGTTTGAGGTTTTATCACTGTCTGTGCAAAGTTTGGGGAAGTGTTGTATTGTTTGTAACACATATTGGTCCCTCAGGTCTTCTGATCGGACAATCATGGCTGTGCCAAACAACAGAGTTAAGCTGAAGAGTATTTTTTACTACCACAGCTCCAGACAGGAACAACTCTCAAAGAAATATGTTTAATCACCAGAATCATCACTATTTAAAAATCAGATCAATAGATGAAGACAAAAATACACTTTAAAGTATAGTATAATATCAGAGCTGATTTTACCTTGTAAATGTATGGAATATACTTACATTTACATGCACCTATTTACACAGTAGTCATCATTAGAGCCCAAACAATAATTGACATTACTAATATTATTTTTTATCATAGATAAATGTATCTGTGTGTCAGAAACGTCAAAGATATGTTTACCTGACACTCATTTATGGAGTCCTAATCATTCTTTTTGTTTGAGTTCTGTGTTTATGTTAAAAAACAAATCTTGGAATATATTGTCATGAGATTTTGTTACTCTTAAATATTGATAACGTGTCAGCCTTCGAAAAATCAATAAGTTAAACTTTAGTGGTCATTAACCCATTAGTCCCACCCAGTTGAAAGAGTTTTACTCATCTAAAATGTACTTTAAAATATTTACTAAGTGTTTATGTATTTGTGCGACTCAAGTATATTGTATTAGTGGGAAGACTAAATATTTAAATTATATTGACTTTAAGTAAACCACAGTGGCATGGTATCTGACCAGAGTGTCAACAGTATTTTGTGTCGTTTTCCTGCAGCTCTCTGGTACGAGAACCTGTTTTCATCATGTGTATCTCAATAATACATGGGTGCTTTCTTACAGTTTGGCAAACACTGCTGTTATCCAAACCGTCACAGTCAAAACCATGTATACAGAGACTGGAGCCCTGCAAGCAAAGGGCAGGAGGTCAGCATTATGTAAATGATATCATGTCCTCTGGCAGGCACCATGTTTTTATATGGTTTGTTTAGGGAGTCAGTCTGATTCAGCTCCCTTATTATGTCCATATTAAGCTTGGCATCTAGCACAGAGAATGAGTCATTTTCACAATTTTATGAGGGGCTGGATGTAGATAAAGATGATCTTTGTAACAGTTATTGATGGAAAACCAAACTCAGCTGAATAGTACAGATGTGTTGTACTGTAAGTGTCGTAATGTGAGTGAGCTGATTCGTTCCTGAAAACTTTATGTATTTCTCTATAAGATTACAACTTATATATTAACTTACAAAAAAACCCAAACATACTTTATAGATATTATCTATTAAAATCAATAAAAAAACAACCCCACAGCTGTGATCACATTTTCAGTTCAAACAAACCTCAATTGATCCACGAAAATACGTGACATCACCCTAGTTCAACTCCACTTCGAACCAAGTGAGCACAAAAACACGAATCTCTCATGTATAATAAGCAAAAAACTATCCATCATCCAAATATGTACTCACTGTGTGGGTGCTGCAGATGAATGAATCGGAACATGTTTGTGGATTGAACTAATATATTCAGATCTTACAACAATGTGTGCATATACTGTTAAAGATTGACTTCAGACATGTATTAAGAGACGTATACAACAGTCTCCTTAAAGAATAACTTGTGTCTGATAATTTCCACATTAAAATTCTTGAAAAGGCATCTACTCCTTCTACCTCATTAAAAATGAAAGAATCTATGAATATGCAAGTTTAGTTAATTTCTAAAGTTTTCCTGTTGGACACAAGATGTCTCCTACATCACTGTAAAGTCTATTTGCCGTGTATGTGCACTGATGGCCTCGAGTTTCTACATCACACTTGTATAAGATGTATACTGCACCAGCAATGACCTCCAAACTATTTCTGATGTCACAAATGATGCTCGTAGGCCCCGCCCCTTAAAATCAGATTATCAATGAGCACAGAGAAACTTTTCACTT